CTCTGTCTCCTCGTCCTCCCCCTCCTCCTCTCATTTCGGGATATGCGGAGAGAACGTGGTAGGATGGACCGTCTGTGTCCCCCGCCATCGTTGATCCAGATGCGAACTACTACCGCCTTATCAGAATGAGCAAAGTAAAAATCAAATGATCGCCAGGATGTGGCCACTGCGCCGCCTCTCCCCCTCCAGATAGACAGACAGACGAGGCAAGCGCAAGAATCCCTTTCTTCTGACTCGGACTCTGCTTCTTTACCTTGTCCGCTATTCCCATATGCGATGATGATGATGATGATGATGATAATGATGTAGTAATAGTCTTAATGAACATGTGTACATTTTGCCATCTATCTTCTACTCTTTCATATCGAGTCTGCCATCCTCTCCATCAACAAGAGGCTAAAGAACAGGAAATACTCCGTCGAGACAGGGAGAGGGAGGGGCAACTCAAAAAGAAGAGAGGGCACAAACCACCCTACGGCTTCAACGTCAAGGCTTCACCTCTTCTTGGCTTGCTTGGTAGGTAGGTAGTAAGTGTGTGTGTGTGTGCTCGTGCTCACGAGCTCGTGCTCTTTCCTCCTCTTCATCGTCCCCTTCGTCCGATCAACGCAAGCCCTCAACCCCACCCTCTCCCACAGATTGATTAACCAGCGCGCCGGGAATCTCTGGGCGGGTCTCTTGGAAGAGATACGGAGACGCACCACTCGGGAGTCTGACCACTCGGCGCCTTTCTCAGCTCCTGCATCTTATGCATGCATGCATGTACTGTACTATACTGTACAGTATGCAAATGCAAATGCAAATGCAAATGCAGATGCAGCTTAGACAGCTGGGTGCGGAGTCTTGAGCCACCCCGACATCTCGGCGTGCATGCGCGTCGCACTTTACGTAGCTTTTAAAAATACACTAGCAATACGTAGTAGTAGTGGTACGCACGAGACTTCGGGAGTAGTGAAAGATGGTTATGTCCCCTTGACCCTCCGCGGCAATATTAGAAAATGTTTCCGGTCCGGGGAAGGGATACGTAGGGGTGCAGGTTTCAAGAGGCGAATAAAGGGTCTGGAGTCTATTATACTTTATATACGGCGTGCAGTTGCTAAGTATAGTAGGTAGGTACCTAAGGTACTAGGTACTGTGCTGCGTACGGCCACAGGCCGAAAGCAGAGCGGGAGGCGGGCATTCCCTAAAAAGTATGGGAGCGGTACGTAAAAAGTACCCTTCCATACGAAGTATATGCATCCAGCTACAACTCTGTAGCGGTTTAATTTCGCATCTGCTCACGACTCCGTTCGTGGCCTGCGACGTGTGCGCCCGTGGTAAACATGCCTGGGATACGTGCTAGAGAAGAAGAGGCTGAGCCACAGTCAAAACAGATGAGCTGCTTCCCTACAGTAGCTGTGGGAACTCGGAGTATAGTTACGGAGGACAAGAGATACCCGATCTCGAGGGCCCCTCTTCCAAGACCCAACCAAGCAACCTACTGATGCAGAGGGACCTATGGCAACGGGGAAAAAAAAAAAGAAAGAAAGAAAGAAAGAAAAACAAAAACGTCCAAGCTTGCGAATGCGCCATAGTAGGTACAAATTACTACTACTAACTACCACGGTACGGGCCTAAGTATTACCCCTCGAGGGCGCCTCCAAAGTTTAGTTTCCACTTCAAACCCCCTGGTTACCCTACCCTCGAGGGGTAATACCTACGCCGGGGACGTCGTAGTTGTAGCTATACTACGAATAATAACCTTTGCCATCGCACCCATTTACGTAGTACTACCGTACAGTAGTACGTTATTTACCGAGAGTTCTGCTTGCCTGAGCCGAGCCACGTCTACGATATACAACGTACATTAGCAAGCCCCATCTGCGAGGCTGGAGGAATGTGAAACGGGCATGCGGAGTGCGTACTACGTATGTGAAGAGGTACTATAATTAATTGTGAGTACGTAGTCAAAGTTAGTTAGGTTTGTAAGTATGGAGGTTCGGAAGAGAGCCCGGAGCGTTTTTTTCTTTTTCTTTTTCTTTTTTTCTTTTTCCGTATCTGTATATCATTTGCGACGGCAAGCTCGGCAAGGCTCATGCTACTTACGACTAGTTGTGGTTGTAGGTAGTACTTTTGTACAACGTTAGAGTAGAGTAGGGTCCGGTCCGGTCGGGTAGAGTAGAGTAGAGTAGAGCCTGTGCACCTTTAAGGTTCTGCGGACCACATACAGATACGGTAGACCGCTCTGGCAGCTGCTCCCCATGATAGCAAAATAATACCCTTCCCCAGCGTAGTGATCTGTTATCGTTCAGCTCACGCGCCATTTCGTGGTCTGTGGACCAACATCCGTCTCCACTTGATCTGCGGAGTAATCTACAATATCTCCTTCTGACCCTTTTTTTTTTCCTTTTTCGCGCGCAACAAATATCTAATCCGTCTACTCGTCGGCTTACGTGGGCCTCTTTTCCTCCTTTTAATCTTAGTCGGAGCGAAAGCTAAGAGCGCTCTCTCAAACCGTCTGCAGATTGATCGTATCTGCTTTTTCTTATTTTTTTTTTTTTTTTTTTTCGGATTTAAATATCCGAGTTCCTTTTTTTATTGGAGGAAAAAACAAAAAAAATCTAATATCAGACGAGACTTCAAGCCGTAAAGTGTAAAAAGCTTGCTGGGCTTGATGAAACTATAGCGCCCTGCAATTCATTCCCGTTCGAGAGGGGGGATGCTGTGATATGCTGATAGTAGGTTTGCTTCCACCCTTTTTTGAACGCTTCCGAAAGTAGAATTGGATGCGAGAACAGCTTGTTGGCCTGCTCGCCAACGTTGCCCAAACGGGCCGAATCTTGGAGAGATCGCCGCTTACTGATCCAATCTTCAAGCTTTTGCTGAAGACATAATTTCCATTAATCGCCTGGGCCGCCCTTCCCTCTGCTCCCCGACATAGTAGTACATAGTAAGGGAACGGGCGGCCCAGGCGATTATACGGAATAGATACTACCAATCTTCGGCTCGCTTAGGTGGGCCTCCTTACATCATCATCCTCACACACTGACGATTATCCCTAGTCCTCGAAAAGCAAACCGCTCGTTATTTTTTGTCAACACAAAATTCGTATCAGGATGACAATAATTAAAACTCATCAAAGACCTCTTATTTATAGATGACGGGCAGAGCTGGCGAGAGTGCACGCGCATCAACAATGTAGCAGGCCCGACCAAACAACCCTACCTGGCTGGTATTTCGTCATGCCATATATAAATAGAGTGGCCCCCTTTTCTCGCTTACCGTCTATTCTAGATCTCACCGGGGGAAGGGTGTCAAGGACCAACGTCCCTGGCGAGATGGGATGTGGATGCAGGTGCTCGTACCACCATCTATTCTCGATTCATACTTACTATCGATACTCAGACATCGAGGATAAGCGAGTCGATAGGGCTATGTACATACGGAAGGTATTTATAGAAGGCTTTGCGAAAGAGACTGTTCTCTGCGCGACCGTCTGCAGCGCTCGCGTCGTCTTGCCTCTCGGAAATGAAGCTCGGCGAGAGAGGCAGCCACGGCGCATGAGGAAGCTGCGCGATATGCGTCACTGGCAGGGTAAACGCGCATAACGAATAAAAAGAAAAGAAAAGAAAGGTCACGCTGCGAAAGGGCCAACTTGGAAGTCAAAGTGTACATACAGTGTTGCGACTCTCGTCGTCTGTAACTAGTGTGGAAAAGATATGGGAGTGAAGCAACTCCCCTCCGAATGAGCCCTGGATGAACCTCAAAACGGAACCACATATATCGTAGCCATCAGAGTGAGTTTGGCTCCGGGCTCCAGTTGATGCTCTGCCTATTAGAAGAGGCATTCTATCGCAGGCTTCTGATATGCACCTGTCCAAACACCACCGTCGGCAGCCTCGCTCGTGTCCTCCGCTTTAGGGATGTTTCCTTTGTATCTCAAGACTAGAGCTTGGAAATCATTCTTCTCCCTTCCTCCTACCCAGAGGTTGTGCCTCATTCTTTCTCAGCAAAAGCCTGATGATCAGAAGATACGTTGGGCGTACTTCGACACTTCCCGCCCCCCTGAGCTTCGCAGAACCAACATTTATTGCGGCTCTTTCAGCGAGGGAATCGGCTCGCTGTGTACGCGATGAACAGATGCCATGTCTCAGGCTATGGGCACAAGTCCAAAAGAAATCGAGAATAGCAGCGATAGACCGATGAGGAAGACGCTGCTGTAGAGTAGGAAATCGATGGGATCCTGGCCTTCAGACCCGTATGTGTATACAACTCGGCCACCATCCTCCCACTGCATTAGTCGCTACAGCGAAAGGAAAAAAAAGTAATGGTATCCTCAGGTGGCTGCTGAGACGGACTAGCAACTTGTGCTTGATATCAGAAGCGGAAGCGGAAGCGGAAGCGCCGATGATGGACGGGTTTGATGGCATCGTGGATTAGATGTGCGCTATGTACGTTACGAAACTGATGAATCTTTCGGAGGGCATGGTAGGGATTGAATTGGATGAAAGGCGGCTCCAATATTTAGGGCGGAAGAGGTAGAGACGGGCTGTCAGTTCGTATTTCCTGGGATGGAGGGGTGGAGAGAGGTGTTGGTGCTGAGAATACTAGGCTATCTGACCATTCCCACCGGTAATTAGAATGTGATCTTGTAACGTGAATAATAGTCCTCTCACTGAAATGTAGATTCTGTATGCCAGATCTGGAAGGGGTGGGTGTGCGTTCGAGGCCAGGGACAGGCTGCTCGACAGGGTCTGAGGGAGTAGAGGTTTCTGTACAGGAGTAGAACGTCAAGTCCCACAGGAGTCTTGATTTCTATTCAAGATACCGGTAGGTAGGGGCAATGATTACTTTCCACCAAGAGCCCAAGAGCTACTGTGTGTCCTAGAGACTCGATCACATCACACTCCTACTTTCGAAGCCCACATCATAGGATGCGTAGCACGATTTGTAATCGGAGCCCTTGCTCAGCTTACTCCATAATCTCCAGTATCTGATTTCGCTGCTTCATCCTCGCCCTAAATATGCCTTTGACCAATGACAGTTTTCTGCACGCCCACCAGTCCCACGTACCTTCCTGGTGTGGCAATCCTCGTAAGCCTCAAGCAAGTGTGATGTCGTACTTCGGGGGCGATCTAGAGTGGCGATCCTTTTGCAATTTTCTAGGTGTCTTCCTCCTTACTCTCGAGAACAATGCGGATAGTTCAAGAGAGGTCCGCAGAGTTATGTATACAGCGCGCTCTCCTACCTCCCCCCCCCCCCCCCTAATAATTCGTGTCACACGCTGTGCCTCTTTCGTGGTATCTACCCGCTGGCCTGAATGTCCTCCTATACTGAAATGAGCGGTCTCAAAAGGAATTTATAATAAGGGTCGCCCGCTGAGCGAGGAGAGCTCTACGAGAGTATATTTCTTGATCGTAGGAGGAGGCCGAGGAGGAGGAGGAGGCCGAGGAGGACGAGCGTGAAACCATGGTCGCAGAAGTTTGGAAGGTCTGTGAACGAAGAGGATTTGTCCTGACCAATTTCGGAGCTCTGGAATTCCAACGAGAGGTAATGGTTCGCACTTTGTAGGATGTTTCCGTCCGCAGATAGGTGTTGAGCCGTCGCAGTCCCGCAGGGTAGACCTACATGCTGAGTTAGTGATCTGCAGGAAACACGTAGGAGATCTTGAGAAAAGATGCTGCCAACCGTAGTTATCTCCATGAATGCGTTCTGCGGACCGTGTGATTGCTAGCCTGGAAATAGGACAGATCTAGGAAGTAGCTAGCTTTGAGATTCAGCCCACTTGTTGTCCCGACATTTCAGGCTTCCCTTCTTGATTCGTTGCATACATTCTGAGCATGTAAAATTGATTGGCAGGTAGCGGAAATTTCCCTCGTCCTCCTATTCGCTGGCGTAAACCAAGGTGCCAAAATCGAAATATTGCAAACTGCTATCATGTGAAGTCAGGCCGGCAGATGAGCCGCGTGTTACCACACTGAGACCACGAACAAGAGCCGCACTGAGATGAATCTAAAAAATGAAAGGATTGAATGCCAGTGGTTGGCGGGTTGAGCCTGGCCTCAAGACGCCCCGAGTATCTGTCCATTCGTTGGTTGAGGCAGGATGCCATGTAATGACGATTTTGCACTTCTACCACGAGGCCATCAGGGCTGCAAATCCGCTCATCTCCTGTATCTCCGATCATGGACTTCTCATAGTGGCCAGCTTTTCGCCTGGAATGATTGCAGCCCTGCTCTTGAAAGTATCCATGTTTGTTTACTTGCCAAGAACTACGCGATGGTCGAGTAAACAAACCTGGAAATATTGAACATTTATAATCTCCTCCATATTGCTTCCGGCCTCATTGATACGGAGTCTTAAAGCGTTGATGCTGTTGCAACTGATGCAGCTCCATGATGCAGTAGGATCTTCGTGGCTTCAGAAATCTCAAGTGAATTCCGTCGTCGCTTCCTAGAAAAAAAAAAGTCATTCATTTGCAGGGGTAAGACCACGTGAGGCCGTGCTAAATCAGAGACCAAGTTCTGATGTGTTGATTTGCCCCACTTTGGGCTCTTCTCCCAGCTGCCTCCTCCCTGATCCACTTCGTTGCGAAATACCTGACCAACCAGATCACCCCATTTCGCCGTCCTAGCTCGCGAAATCACAGATCACGTTTTTTGCCCCGTGTTGGCGCTACTGAGTAGGTTAAGCGAAAAGTGATCTGCGACCTCTTGCAAAAGCATATATACTCGACCTCCCCTCCTTCTTTTCTCTCCTCTCGCCATCCTCAACAACATCGACCTCCGACCTCCTTATAGTCGCTCATCCTCCACTCCACACCCACCCTTGTATAACAGCAAGAACAACAATGACATCCTCAGGTTCGTGCCCCTTCCCCCTCTACTGCCTGCGCGCAATTGCTCATCGGTCTCCTCCTCATCGCTGAATACTTTGCTAACCTCTCCTCGCTTTCTACAGGCTCAACTTCAGCGCCATCGGTGCCGCGGCAGAAAAAAGTTCATCACGTCGCGTCGCACCCCGCCTCCAACAGCATCACAAGAACAGTTCCTCACACAACACCTCAACACAACACACCGCGACATATACCACGCGACAACACCTCCTCGTAACACACATACCGTGCACCAAACATGCCACGCAACCTGACTTACAGTCCGTCTCTACTGGTACGTGCTTCCATACATCCCCCCCCCTCTTCTTTTCTTCCGTGTGTATATGTTAACTCCCTTCCAGTCTCACCGGTCTCGGTTTCGCACATGCTCAGGGTTGAGAAGGTAAGCCCCCATTGGCTAACATCGCCAGAGCCCACGTCAAGTCCACGGCAGGAAGTCAATCTTCGGCCTCCAGTAAGCAATATTCCTCTCTCCCCAGTCACATTCTAATCATCTCCCAGATACGTTAGAAGACCGATTGGGTTCGGCACTCAGCGTTCATTGTGTTGGCTTGCCACACCGATCTCAAGTAGCTTCCAGTAGAAAGGCGCTCGGGGTCTACTTGCCTGCTTGAGATCGAGATCGTTTGAGTTTCAGTCCACGGTGAGGTTGAGCTGAGGAGCGCTGCGCGGGTCCCGGGGGGGCCTTCGGGTTCGACTAGACTCCCTCATCGGCCTCTTCGTATGCACGTCCGCTGCGTTGAGTGGACAGCTGCCTCTTTTCGCAAACATCGATGGGTGACCCTCCTCCGTTTCGGGGAGTCGAGCAAGGAACCCGGGTGGTCCGAGGGAGAGCCATGCTATGGGGTTGGGCTCATAGGGTGGGGGCATGGCGTCGAAGAAAATTGGCACTGTCGTGCACTGGCTTGATTCGTGTAAGTTTATGCTCCCTCCCTCCTCACTTGATTCATTCCTGACATTGGCATAGTCGGGTGGTGATGTAGCCTTTGGGGGCTTAATGCCAAGAGTATCTCAATGTTGAGACTGTTTCCATCGGTCTTGACAAGATTTATTCGCGGCTAAATTTTGCGCCAAGAGGTTTTCAATGTTGAGACTGCTTCTATCGGTCTTGATAAGAATTCTTCATGGCTAAAAAGGTACAATAGTCTTTTGATGGCGCGGCGGAGGCGCTATGGAGGAACACTAAGATTTGGAGTGTTGTGTGTTTGTTTGTAGCTGAGAAGATGATTTGCAGACTGGAGTGCCTGTTTGTGGCGGGGGCGATACGGCCGGAGTTTCGCTGCGAGAATGATTCTGGAGTGCCTGTTTGTGGCGGGGGCGATACGGCCGGAGTCTCGCTGCGAGAATGA